GACTGGAAATTGTCAGTTCGCTGAATAAATATTATCAGATATTTATACTAACATTACCTTTGCAGTTGGTATAATATACCAACATTCAGTAGGTTGGTGGGATGGTTTTTTAATTTCTGATGAACTTCTGCACACTTGGTTTGTTGGTTTGTTTGTTTGGGAACTTTGCTACAATAGGACCTTTGATGTTCAGTGCTTTGACAGAGAATCAGAATTTAAAGATGCATTTTCACTGTCACTGTAGATGAATTTTTATAATCCAGTGTTGCAAAGTAGGAGTTCCTTCTTAAAAAAGCAAGGTTTTACATGGGTGATTCAGTGTTTTATTTTGACAGCATTTCTGTGCCTTCTGCATAGATCCTAGCTGAAGAAATGCTTGCTGAGTGCTTTGCCACCTGAAAATGTGGGGCAGGGAGGGAGAAATCCTGCCTGGTCAACAGTTATGTCAGTTTGGCTAAACACGTGCATTGCCGACAGTGGTGTCGTGGCTCTGCCGGGGCAGGCCCGGCCATTGCACCTGCTGGTGCCACCGAGGTGCCGTGACTCAGCCCTGGTTCTCTCTGTATGGACCTGCTGCTGCAGAGCATGTGCAGCACAGGTGCCATCTCCCCACCCAGCTATCAGTGTCTTCCAGGACAGTGAGTCCTTCAATAAGCTGTGAGCTCCAAGAGGTATTGTTCTGGCAGGCCAGGTGTGGCCCAGGGGCGCCAGTGCCTGGCTCTGCTTTGAGTGAAGAAAGTGCTTCATTATTTAGATTGCTTACAGTGCAAGCAGGCAAAACTCTTGGTAACTGAATTAAGGAAAGAATATCTAGTAAGTGGATGGCAGCAGAGGAAAGACTGTTTTGAGGAAAAATAGGGTTTTTTCTTGGAATTTTGTGTCAAATTTTCATCCTGAGTATGTACAGTGTATTTTAGGAGCTATTTTTGTAGCTGAAATAGCTGGAAACAGAAGTCTTAATAGGGTGCAAAAAACGTGTAGCTGTGTTAAGCGACAAAGCTCTAGCCATCACATCCAACATGCAGTGCTTTTGTACATTGGCAGTTCATGTGCAGCTGATTCATCAGTCAAAAAAAAAAGTCATTACCTTACTATAAGATGTGAGCTTCAAAATGAGACTCTGCCCTCATTTTCTATGAAAACTTTAAACATGCAAAGTTTGAGGTTTTAAAAGTTAGTCAGCCATGCGTGAGTTATAGAACCACAAGTTAGCAACTCATGTTAAATTTTGAAAAGACTGGTTTTTATTTGCTTCTAGCTCAAAATTAATTTGATCTGTTTCCTTCCAACTGGTGTAAGACTAAGACAGATGATTTTACAATAAAATGGAGTTTCTTGACAGTATTACAACAGCATGATGAGAAGAATCTTTTTCTGATTAAACTAGGGTGGAGGACTGTTCTGACACTTGTCTTAAAAGGTCTGATCTTGGCCACAGACATCTTGTCTGTTGCTCTCATGGAGTTTCTCAGCAGCATGTAGGTGGAGTCAAGGTCTCTGGGCTCCAGAAGACAAAAGCTTAATACGTGACCTCCAAGTGTATTTCTGCTGCCTGCGAGAGATATAAAAAAAGCAAGAAAGTCACGGTTTATTCCACTAGGAGAAAAATCGGTAAATGTTTATTATCAGTAAATGAAAGTCCATTTTATCAGGACTTTCTAGCATGTTCTCTGGAGAGGACTGAATCCTTCTTTCAATTGTGTATGGTATGCTGAAGGTATTCATTTGGAACTTTATTACCAGTCTTTATTATAATTCCCTTTATTTTGGGTGCTATCTTTGCACAGAATCAAAACCAGAATGTGTCTCTTCTTCTTAATTGAATTTCTTACTGTTATTTGTCTATTTTCTACCTACAACATTAAAAACACTAGTTATTTCATGCATGCTACCTTTTAATATATAATGGATGAGACCTTGGTACACTTAAAAAAATACAGAATACAGCTGAGACAGAAATATGAACTGAATTATTGACTGTGTAAAATATAGCCACAATTTCAGCTTAAACTCTTAACATTGCGTGACCAGTTGCTGTGTCTCATTTGAATCTTATGTGAAAAGAAACATGGAAAATGCAAAACATTTTCTGTATCCACAAAACTGCTAGTACTTCTTTCTCCAGTGGAAGTGACTCCCCTCTATCTTTAACAGTGAGCTAAACCCGGTAAGGTAGCAGTAGTTCCCAGTAGGATCATTCAGTTTTTGTTTTCTTGTGGAAATCAGTGCCATTTTCAATCAGTCTTTTTTTTTCATATGAAGGCCCTGAAGTGTCACTCATCCCTTTTAATTCTGACAGTGCTGCTATATGAGTTGTGGTAAAATTAAATTTCCATAGAAAAGACAAATTTTGTGTCTAACATATACTTGCAGATTTCTCTAATGAATGTGCAATGCCATAAAGGGCCCACAGCAGCTTCCTAGTCAGTGGCTATTATTATGGAGCATTTAATTTGTGCACAAGTATAGTCTTTCTTGTCTATATATGTCTCTATATGTCTCTAATATGACTAATATAATATAACATTTTCTTTCATGTGATTCCTAAGACCGTGCCTCAAAATTGGTATAACAAATATTGTTCTGACGCATAGGAACCAAGAAAAAAATTGGCCACAGGCTTCACAAAAGACAAGATCTCATCATAAAGAAATTTCATAGTCAGATCTAGAGCTACTGTGCATAGCTGTTCAGGTACATCTGTTGACCCTTGGATGAGTGTAGTATCAAGAGTCATTAGGCTGCATTTTCTGGGACCTTCTTGATATTTGTGATTTTACTCTTCTATATAGGAAAACATAGAATCTTTTGGCAAAGTGAAAAGGAAAGAAAAAATGTTGCAGCTTGATTATATCTGTACGTTGCTGTATTGTTAGACTTGGTTTATAAATTAGTTTTTAAGTTCTTCTCAGAAGTGCTTTAGTAAAATATTAATGTTGGTGTTGAGCAGTCACAGGACAGAAGCAGTCCAGAGTCTGTATCTGCTTCATACAGAAAAAGCCTGTAATAGAATCAGCAGAATGCCTTAATACGAAGAAGTTTGAAAAGGAAACTAAGCTGTTCTGTATTCTCATTTATTAGACAGGGAGAGGGAACTGAAGAGTAACCTTTAAGGAACTCAAATTGCACCTGAATAATTTGCATTTAGAAAGGATGTTCCTTTCGTGTTCAATTGGTTTATCGAATCCATGTTAGATTCCTGTAAATGCTACACAGCTTTGCATCTCCAGTATTTTGCCTAAATGAAAGACTAACCTTTGGAACCTGGCTTGGCTATATTACATTTATGTTTAGTCTAATAGAGGTGATGAAAGTCATTGAACTGAATGGCACGCATTCCCTTGGTCCTTTAGAAGCAGCTTTAACAATAATCTTACTTGGATGTTCAGAGTGACAGGAATTAACATCATTCCTATACATTGGAACATGCTTCTGCTTGAAACAGCCTTCTCAAATGCATGTTGCTACAAGGGCAGAGTGTGCAGCAGAAGAAAGAAAAGCTGAATATACTTTTCATTCCCAAGAGAAATTAAAAAGAAGGCAAGTGCTTTGAGTAGTGAGCAAGCATGCCTTCATTTTGATTCTACTGACCTGCCATAAAGAAATGAAACAGTGCTCATTTTACTGAAAAAAACCCACTTTGAAAACGAGTGTCTTAAGGAGCTGTGGAGTTGGTGTGAATGTGGACTGAGCTCATTTTGTTCCTTCAGTGTACAGTATATGTTGACAGTAAATTCTTCCTGCAGATAGTGGTCATGAGAAGTTTTGCCTGTATTAGAAGTATATGAGAAATCTTGCTGTGTATGTGGGACCTCTATATAATACACCTATTTCAGTCCCTTTCTGTTTCAGCTTTTTTGTGAGATCTCTCAGGTATCTTGTACAGAGTCTTTATGGGCAAGGTAGTATTTAACAAGGTGCTTGAGACCTATAATGTTTTGGGATTTGTTTGTGATTTTTATGCAAAAGCAAAATCATAATGAAATCAGACATTAATCTAGTTTGTGAATTACACTGAGAAGTGCTTTGTGGAAAAATACCCAAATCACTAACAGAGATTGGGGATTTAATATTCTACATTAATATACCCAGAACTAGACACATCAGATTGTAAGTAGCATTTTTGAGTTTATTCATAGCAATAACTACTTTTTTGTATTAAGGGAGGGCGATAGTTTGGTTCTGATCCTGAAAAACAGGAAAAAGCTAATGTCTTTGTGAACTCTGCACTCACACTCTCTTTAGGGGAACTTTGCAATAGCCGTGCAATTGCTCTTTTGAGTCAGAGTCTGGGATCTCCTGAGTTATTCTGAATGTGTGCTAGCCTCAATTATTCCTCTGGTCCCCAGGTGGATTATTTTCTTCCACTGCTCTACAGCATTCCTTACCCTTTCCCACATGAAGGTAGAAGGGCTAGAGTTTGGAATGACAGTACTGGAAATTGAAAGCTTCTGTAAAAGAGGAATCATAACTTTTGCCCAGAAAATCTCTATGTAGTCTTTGCTTTCATATTGTTGAATCCCATGCCAAGAAGCTACCCAGTAAACAGTTTGCCATAACTAAGCATCAGGACCAAATAACAAGAGCCATGGATAAGATAACCACCATAATAAAGGTCCACTAAAACCATATATAAACAAAGCCTTCCCAAACAACCTGGATATTTTGTACCTGTCACATCAGCAAAAAAGGCATGGCTACAGTCCTTGAATTTAGTACAGCTGCTTAACTGTAATTGGTTATGAAGTTGTGTGAGAAATTGTCCCATCCTGGTGAATAATTATCTCATCTCATTCATTGCTAGTTCATGGTTGGGTTAGAGCGAGGGTGATATAATAACACACAAAGCAGTAACTTTGGTACCTAAGACTTGCAGCTACCACAAAATGATGCTGTGTATTCTCAGAAGTGGAAGATACAGCCCATCTGACTTCTGTTCTTTGCTCTACCTGTTCAAAGAGTAATAAATTGATATCAGTATTCTGCTCTATTTTCTCTAGGCACTCCAAGAGTGAGATTTGGAGTATTTAAGGGATCTACTAAAGTTCAGAAATGAAACACAGGTTATCTAGAACAATGAATCTTTCCACAGTAATAGCAAAGCTTGACCATGTGAGAACAGAATTTTCTTTGGAAACAGTTCAGCTCTGTCTCAGAAACTACAGATAAGGAACGTAAGTACCCATGTTTGTGTGCATGTGTGTGTAAAACAAAATAAAAATTCCAAAACAAAGCAAGTTGACTTGCTCCTTCCCAGCTCCACATAGACAGAATTGTAGAACTGCAGAGACAACAATTGTTCTTTAGGCGGGCTTTATGCATGCCTGAAGTGTGGTCAGGAAACAAAATAGAAATACATAAAAAAATAGAATGGAAAAAATAAACTAATGGTAAGAAATGTCTTGCTGCTGTTCTGTTTGTCTCTCTATATAGTGTAAATAAATGAGTATGTGCAGTTGACCATGAATTATCCTTTACCCTTGAGGGTCTAAAAACTTAATTTGGAACAAGTTTGACAGGGTATTTCACAACTTCTTTAGATTTTTTTTTTTTTTTTTACTTTCTAATAACTTGGCATATGAATTTATGAGTGTACTGTGGTACTATCATCAAAAAGAAGATCAAAATAGTGACTAGAATAAGTGAAAAGGAGATAGAACTGGCACAAAATCTGTATGGAACAAAGAAGTTACATTTATTATTCAAAGTACAACTCCCATTGGGAACTTGTATAGGTATCATATAAGTCATGATGGAATAGGTCCTCTAACGAAGGACCATTATTATGAGAAGCAGGTAGTCTCCATTTAAAATAAAAAGCTAGGCACAATTATACTGGTTGTTAGCATGCAAGCAGCTAAAAGAGCCCTGTGTGTTATTAGGCACTAACCCTTACTACGTGAAATGGAATTGTCTGACAGGAAAATTGGGTAGGACTTTCTGTGGAAAAAAATGCAAATTGTGGATCAAGTTATCTGTAGGAGTCTTATGACTGATATTAATGGTTTAAGGTTAAGTTTTGTTGGCAATGAAACAAATATTTTGGCTGTTCCTGAGGTCTGTGAGCTTTATTAAGTACATGAATTACAAGTAATCTGATAGCATACTATGTTCTCTTTGCTTCCCTAGGATCCTTGAACCTGTCTCATCTGAGACAGGCATTGCTTTCACTGTTGTTTTTATGACAGCTGAATGTGAATGGTGAATGTATCTTTGGAAGGCAGAAGGTGAGGTGCATTGTCTTTTAGTGGTCAAGTCTGATAGACATCCTTTTTTATGTGTTGGTATTGAGTTTTATATAAGATTTTGCAAAAGTGAAAATAAGTTTTCCCTAGGGAGAAAGATAAGAAATAAAGGATTAGGATATCTCTCCATACAATAACTCCTACTGTGAAATTCTAGCCCTATTTGTAATGCTAGGTTAATAGATGGAATTGATGATCTTAAAAAGGTCTATGATTCTAATAAGAGCTTTGCTACTGACTTCAGGATGATCACAGTTTTACTCCTAAGGTGCAGTTGTGCTTTTCTAGGAAAGCTAAAGTATAAAATACAGCTTCTGCCAGCACACCATCAATGCAATAGGAAGGGAAGAGGATAACATTGAATTACATCCATAGCCAATAATAGCTGCTGTGAGCACCCTGATGATCAGTGTATTAATGTTAGTCATCAGCTTTTTGGGTTTGTATAAGATTATTTTCTTCAAATCTGAATGAAGTAGACTCAAGATGAATTTGAGTTCTTTATGGAACTGTAGTTAGTATTTTTTTTTAAACTCTTTAAAAAATGTCAGATGTGGTAAAGCTTCTTAGATTTTTATTAATAAAGCACACCATTTATAACTAACTAAGTTTTGAAGCCCTCCAAGGCACTGTTTAATTTTTCAGCTCTCTTTTTTTGGTTCTATCTAGTTCTGTATTAGCTTCCTATCATCAGGTCTTGCCTTTTGTAAAGCAGACATTCTCATGCACACATTTCTGGGACGTATTGTGCACATCATGAAAGAAGGAAAATGACTCTTGATTGGGATCCCAGTCTTCACTGACCCACTGCTCAGTGGGTATTAGATAGTGTGCTTGGCTATCAGCAACATTGCAGAGGGTCTTTGGCCAGTACATTGCCTACAAGTCATGGATTGAAGACTGTTCCTTCATATATTTCAGGCAGAGCTAACATACTCTTTTTGATAGGGCTGTTTTGATGTCAGCTAAGAAAATAACTCTTTGATGTGTTTGCATGAGAATGAATCCTGTAGATAAAATTATATTGCATAATAGTTTCCTGCAGCTCCCCAGATACTTATTAGAGTATTCGGAAATTTAATTCAGCCTCTCCCTAAGAATTGAGGTCTCCACTTTGTACTTCTGATTGCTTCTCTCAGCTCAATTAATGACATGGAAGCACTTGTTCTTTCTCTGAATAGTGTCTGGGTGCCTCCTGCCAGAGCAATGGAGATCACCTTCTGCTGAGCTTATAGATATATGCAGGAATAGAGCCATAATGGGTGCTTCAGTGCACTGTGTAATATCCTCTTCCAAATTAAGAAGGCTCTGAGACCAATCAGTTTTTCCCTGCCTGTATTTGATTGCACACTTAAAATCAGCTGACTCTCAGGTCAAGTGGTGCCTTGTAGCTTTAAGCTCAGCAGTGGCTGTTGTCTGTGTTAGGGAATTTTTCTGTCACTATAAAAGGCAAAACAAGACTAAAGATACTAAAGATGGCCCTGGAATTTTTTTGCAATGATGCTCCCTGAGAAACTTGAAATTTCTTGATTGTAAATAGGAAAACTCTTGAAGTTTCCTACTTGGTAGTACATGGTAGAGAGAACTTGAGAAGGGAAGAAAAGGGTTTAATTGAATACTTTCCAAAAATAAAGTGAAAAAAATTATGTATATCAAATCAGAAGGAAATAGAATAGTAGGGTGAGGTGACAAAGTCCTCTTACAATCTGATAGTACTCAAGACTGGGCAAAGTTCTGCATTGTGGTATTAGATGTCAACATCCTGAGATATTCAGCTTGGCACAGTGAGACCACTTCATTACCTCATTTCACACTAGTGTGTTTCAGGCTATGTGCTGAATATTTCCAGTACTTGGCTTTTTATACTATGTGCGATAGATTAAATTTTCCTATTTTGACAGGGAATATCTTTAGCAGGGTGCCTTGAAATGCCTTAGGGATTCAAGCTGTCCCTTAATCAATGCTGCAGAGGATGCAGTTTTGATTTTTTTCCTCTAATATATGAACTATGACACTAGATTCATCCTGGCATACATCTGCCAGAGCAGACTGAAGGCGTTCAGTGAGAGACACTTCATGACCAGCATAGGGCCAACAAATAGGAGGCAATCTAAAAAAGGGGAATTGAAATATAATATAGATGGGAAATATAAGATATCTCAAAATAAGGTCATAATGGAGGACGTAAATTGCACATCTATGCAGACAGCAACAGGACATCCTCAAAATATCCTACAGTATCTGCATACTGATACTGACTTTTACAAATATGCAACAGATATGGATTGTTTCTGAAAAGAACAGCTATGGGTCAAGATGTAACATAACAGAGAAAACAACTCTGTGAATATAAATATTTATTATTAGTGGAGAGAAACTGCTTCCTACTAAAATTGGCAAGAATGATGAATCCAACCCTCTTAGTATTTATTGGAGAATTAGAAGGCTAATGAGGTGCAGCGAAAAACCCTTTTCTGCCTTCTAGAAAAATCAGCAAAGCTAACACTGTCAGACCATAATGAAGAATACTCCAGCTACTGGGCTGCAGATCCACCACTAAAAATCTCCAGTGCCTGATACTGAACCAAAAAGAGAAAAATACAAAATGAAAATTCCTACATTACCTGAAGGACATGCAGAATTCTTTTCCATCTGTATTTTTTGTGATTGTTAATACTTGTGTGAAACACTGCTGAACTGCCATAGAGCAAATTACAAGCAAGAGATGACTGTGTCTAGTTTGATCTTTGAGCTTCTTTGATTAGATGCAGATAAGAGTCAATGTCATCTCTACATATTGTGGCATGTTTAACATCTGCTGTTCCTTTCTGGGCTGGTTTGCAGTTTGAGTCCTTAACTTATGACCTTTTCTTTTTCTTTGATTTAGCCATTGATTACACCCCAGAAGATGTGATTCATTTGAACTACAAAATCTCTGCTTGTTGTGGTACTAATAAGCATTGTGCCTACTGAAAGCTGTAGCAGAAGAGAAAGGGAGGAGGCCTAACATGCCTGACACTGTCTTTTGTCTGTGTTGCAGCAAGGGGAGAAGGAAAGATGTATAGGAATAGTTTTATCATCATGCATACATATACACACACATAAGCATTTTTATTTGTTTATCTAATCTCCTGGACGCTTTTTCAATGCCTGTTTTAACCCTTTGTTCTTGAAGTAAGCAAGGAAAAACTATATGACAGGCATTTAATTTTTTTCTTTCTTGAGAGCAGCTAGTGTCCCTTGTGTTGAGAAGAAAATAGTACCGTGTGGAAAGCTAAATTTCAATTAACACATCAAAGGGCAGTTTGTGGTGTTTTGCCTATAACTAAGGCTTAACTGAGTTGCAGGACTCTGGGAATTTTGTGTTTTCCTATATGCTCACTTACTGCATTCTTAGCTCTCCTACTTTTCTAGTCTTCCTCTGCTTCTCCAAATGGGACTAATGAAAGCAGTATAATCTTGTCGAATATGGTTCTTGCTGAGGAATTAGATGAACAGCTGCTGGGAACAGTCTGGGAATACAATTTGGTGAAAAAAAAGAGATGAGGTACAAACAAATTCCCTTATGATGCCATTCATTCTATATGCAGTATTATACCAGAGGGTGGAAAAATGGGAAGGCCTAAAATTCAATTTCAATTTGAGCTGGTTTAAAAAGAAGCAATTCTACATACATTGCAGCCACAAAAGCATATATTTATAGGCACAGGCTTTCACTTTGTAGGTAGAAACTGCACAGCTGGTTGTGTACATCTGGTTTTTTGCATGCATAAGAACTTACTTTTACAGGCACAACTATTGTACTTTCTTCTCAGTATTTCCCAAACAGTTATGCTAATTCCTCTATTATCTAGTTCATATCTCTTCTTCGTGCTTTAAACAAGGTTGGGAAGGGGAAGAAAACCCTACATTTTGGCATGCAGGACAATCAGAAATCCAATCCAGAAAATGAAAAAGTCATTGGTATGTGTCAGTGTTCCTGCAATATCCTCCCACTCACATTTTTGCATTGTAAAAATCCAGCATGCAATTCTTGGTTAGGACTGGAAATTAAAGCTAATCTCCTCAGTTGCCTTATGCATGTCATACACCAATTGAAGCAATGGCATTTTGCTTTCTTGTCTTGCTACTTCAGTGAATTTCTTCTCAGGTCCTTTACACCTAGCAGTGTCTGGGAAACACACACAGAATTAAACACGCCTGTCTACGGAAATGGGAGAGCCAAACACAAGAACTACGTTGATCTTGGATAAAGTATCATTTAGTGTAGTTCTAATAATTCACACTATTTTGTAAAGTTTGGTGGGGATCTTGGTAATATAGAACATGCTGTGGCCTTTGGCCACACATCCCATATTTTGAACCAGATTTCCACCAACTTGTTTCCTTTCATCCCACTGATGGCCAGTAGCCAGTAGTAGGAGTTGGATTCTTTTCTTGATTGGTGTGTTAGAACACATGGAAACCTTCTTATGCTGTGTATGTTTTGTAAACTACAAGCTTGGACTGAAAACAGCCATTTTAGAGTTCTAGGAAAGTAATTTTAAATAAATACTTCAAAATATTATTCTGGAACTGAATTTTTTCCAATTTTTTTAAATTGGAAGAGGCCTTCTTGGTAGTGATGAAGAAAGAAATATGTATTTTTTAAAAATAACTCTTAGAAATCATCTAGAAGTTTAACAGTCATGAAGACTTCATCATAAATGACATTTTGGTTTCTTTAAGAGGGATTGCATTAGCTCTCAGAATGGAAGTGTCACCAGATCAACTGTAACTATAGCTTGACACTTTGTGCTTCTGTGCATGTGCACAGCTTGATATTATCTAAGTACTGGTAACAGTGGTACCTAAGGCTGCCCTGGATAAACACAAGTTTCTGATGACAGCATCTTAAGTACAGGAGAAAAGCTCTTGTGCAGTTTACATTTATGATACCATCATATCCCTGAGGTGCTGGCAGAGCTTCATTCACAGTTTTTCGGTGAGTTGTTTTTCTGTATTTCATGTATCACTTCTCTTTCTTGGTGAAAATCATTGATATTTCTTCTCTTTAATAAAGCCAGATTAAAATTAAGAATGAACATCAAAATACCTTTTACTAACCTTGTTATTTTAAAAGAATTCAAAATCCCAATTTGACTTCTTAATGGTTGTAAAATGTATGTTTTGGACAATAGAACTGTATTTTAAGAAATAAAGTAATAAATAAAGAATATTTTTGACACATTTATGTTTAAAAATTGCTAAAGTTAGTTTATTTTTTCATTTTCATAGTTATTTTTTATTTTATGTGGAGGTTTGTTTTATTTTACTAAGGCCTTGGTTCACCACAACATTTGTATTGCCTGATCTATAGCAACCAAGTTAAATGAAACAGGTTCTCCAGTACTGAAATCATTACAGGGAAAAAAAAAGGAGGTCCAGTCCATCCCTGTTGTGGCAGGAAATGGGTAACTAGGTCATCCCTGACAGATGTTTGTATAGGCTGCTGTTAAAAACCACAAATGAAGGGGATTCCACAACCTCTTAAACCTATTCCATCTAATCTAGACTTTAAGTTGAAAGGATTTTTTTGTTGTTGTTTCATTTTTTATATGTACTCTGCTGCATAATTGTTATAATTCAGGTGGGTACAAAGATCTGTTGACCATGACTTTCTGTATGCTACCTTTTAAAATACACATTTTCCCTCCAGTCTTCTTTTTCTGAGGAAGCCAAGCCCCATTCCTTCAATCTTTCTTTGTAAGTCATATTTTCAAAATAATTTACCATTCTTGTTGGTTTCATTTCAACTCCATCCAAATTGCTGAAATCATTCTTAGGGTGCATTGCCCAAAATTGCACAGAATGCTCCAGCTGAGGCCTCAGCAGCACTGAAGACTGCAAAATAATTAGATCCTGCATCTCACATACTGCACGCTCCTAGTACATCCTGGAATGCAAAATGCCTTTCTGCAACATCATCATGTTGTTGACTAATATTTAGTTTGAAATCCACTTGAACCTTCCTATCCTTCTATCATCATCAGGTTATATTAATATACTCTTTTATTTTTGTCATGGGTAGTACCTAATTTCTCTCTGTCTAGTATGAGCTTGTTGCAGTTATACTGTTTCTCACATTAGCTAAATATTTTGGATTCTGATCTGCTTTCCTATGTATTTGCAACCCTCTTCCAGATTTTTTTTTGCAAATTTTACAAATTTAGTCCTTGTTTTATTATCCAAGCTGTTCAATGAAAAATTGAATAGAATAGGATGGATGAGAAATCCCTGAAGGATGTTACTGCAGTGCCATCCTACTCTGTCAGGAAACTGTTGATAAATACTGTTTGAGAGAAATACTTAACTACTTGTGTGTCACCTGTTACTTGAATTTGTCTACACCATTTTTTTTGTTGAAGGCAAAATTAATGAGGATCCAACTAAAAGCTTTGTTAAAGTACAGATATCACATTTACTGCTTCCTTCTTATTCAATAGGCCTGCTGCCCTTTCTAGGAAGGAAATTGGAGAGGTTTGACACAATAATGATTCTAAGATTACATTTTAAAATCTTACTACTTAACTGTTTTCTGTCATACTGTTATCTTCGTGCCTATATACTAACTGCCTAATAACCTAGGATAGTATCCCTCAGAGATGTCGGAAGTTATTTATGAAAGTTAGGTCAATTGAACTTTATTTCCTAAGACAGGCAGCATTTTCATCCTTTCTAGTCTTCTAGGACTTCCCTTGCACTTAATGAATTCTCAAAAACCCCAAACCAAAACAAAAAAACCCACCACAACCTCCCTTCCCCCTGCATCGTCATGCAGAGATTATTTTATCTTTTAAGTGCTCTGGGGTAATTTTTAGCAGATTTTCCTATGGGAACACAGTTTATATGATCACATGTATGACCAGTCAGACCACACCATGCCTTTTGAACTTGCTGTTCACTCTCCAACTGAACTAGACTGGGTAGGGGTGGTCTCAAAGGTACTACATTTCTATAGATCTTGTGAAAATGAGCAGGTAAATAGAGAGTCTTCCATGGCAACAAGGAACTCAGTGTAAATGAAACCCTGATATCAGGCATTGGAAAACTCACAGAAGAATGTTATGAATATTCCAGCCATAAATTTCAGTCAGACTTTTTGCTCTGGGCTAATGCAAACAGGAGACATAAGGCTACAGGGAGACAAGCTTTATTCACTGCTTTCTGAACTACGTGTTTAAGTCAGCAGGATTGGAAACTGGCATTTCTTAATATTGCTTAACCCATTCCTTCCCTTTTCTGGTCTGTGCATCTTGGACTTTAGTAAATTGCTTTGCATGTCAGACGCTAAGATATTTTGTAGCTATGTTAGGCAAAAAAGAGCATTGAATATTTCAGTCTTCTCTGTGTCACATTATTTCCTGTCTTTCAGTTAGATACCGGTTTTGAATCTTCCTTTGTCTGCATTAATTTGTGTATGCATGTGTGTGTAACCTTTTATTGGCTTTTAGGTCCTTTCCTAGATTAACTCATTTTGCCTCTTAGCCTTCATGATTTTTTCCCCCTGTGAGTATACTATTCTTTTAAACTCATTTTTAGTCATTGGTTCTTGTGTTCACTTTTTTGTGTCATTCCTTCTTGATTTTCACTTAACCAAATAGCTCCTGATGAAGCTTTGCTGCTCTCTTGCAGTGCTTACTTTGTGTCAGGGTAGTCTGCTGCTGTGCCTTTAATACAGTTCTTTCAGTAACTGTCAGCTCTCCTATGCTCCCATTTCCTTATGAATTTCTTCCAAAATATCTACCTACCCATTCATTCCCTAAGCCAACAAAAATCCGCTTTTAGAAGCCCATGCTCTTTCTGTCAGTCCATGCTTTCTTTGGCATCATTAATTTTATTGTTTTGTGATCAGTTTTATATTTATATCTTCCACCTTTGTCTTATCAGGAAGTATTAACTGATGAGCTAAATATGCAAAACAGCCTTTCATCTCCTATCTCCTCAACTGTCTGAAATCTCTGTACCCTGAAAGAAAAGTTGTTCCAAATCTGCTGACTACAGGGCTGTTATCTTTTTCTTGGAGGTGTGTCTGGACAGAATAAGGGATAGGACACTGAACTGGGTGGGTATCAGATCAGATGGAGCAAAGCAGCTCCCCTATTCCCAGCACAGAATGGGGCAGCAGACCAGCTGCTGGAAGGGAACAGAGGCAGAGAATTTGTAAATTAGAATACTGTTATTTTAATATCTAATATTTCATCATCTATCAGGCTTATTGTTGATGTTTTGTGGCCAAAATTTGAAGGCCTTATTCAACAACTACCAAAAAAGCAAACCAACAATGCTAAATTGGTATGACTTTTGCCTGAAAAAAAAGCATCAAGACATGCCCCATTGCTATTAGAAACCACATACAGACATGGCTCTCTGCAAACACTGACTGTCTCTAATGGCTTAAAATCAAAGGCAACAAAATAAGCTCCAGGCAAGACAGATACTTCAGGAAAGGAGATATAAGGTGTAAAGAGTGAGACAGAAGTATGAAAGCTGTGTGGAAAAGCAGGAGCTTAAAAAAACATGGAGAGGAAGCCTGGCAGATAAGAGAGGCCTATTTACCTGAGAGCAGCGTTGTAAAAGGAATAGTCTGTGTGTAGGAAAAAAATTGCAGGGAAGAGAAGACAAGAAGATTGTAAGGAGCATGGGAAGAAAAGAAATATAATAAAATGAAAACAGGTGAGGAAAAAGAAAGTGAATGTAGCATCCATCAGGATGGGTTTTTTTAAATTTTTTCACCAGGGAATATTTAAATCAAATATTTTTTATTAAAATGACATACACAAGAAGGGATTGTAAAACTGTCCTTGATTCTGGCTGGAATGTAGCTAATAATCATACTAGCTAGAGCTGGAGTCAAGAGGAATATTTCTATGGCAAAAAACCCAAAAAACAAATTCCATTTGATTTTTGTGTTTGGTTTGAAGGGAGGCTGTTTGTAGGCCTCTCGGAGATTTGGAGCAAAAATCATTATAGCAGAGGTGGATCACTGGATCTGACGGATGGTGATGGTATCAAAGGTATAATAAATGCAGTTTATGACAATTACATGTATGATAAAACTAGATCTGTGCTTACGTGGTGTTTGTGTCTATTTCTTAAAAGTAGGCTTAATGTGATACCATTGTTTTCATTTTAGCTTCTCTGCATTTTGATATACTGGTATATTTAGGGAAGATATTTTTGCTACTATATTATTTTATGTATGTTTTTGTTACCTTGCAACTCAGAGTTGGTAGCAAGTGCTATATTAAAAAAATTATAAAGCATGTAGTACAATATATAGCTCAGGGAAACAGCTCTAATTCAGCGAGCCTCAAAATTGATTTAATAAAGATCAAAATAAATTCTTCCTATAAAAATGTTATTGCGCTAAATCAGTTTTAGAAAACTTTAACTAAACTTGAAAATGAATGTTTGTACAGTTGCAACATTCCTGTTTGCTCACAAATAGAAATGCTTTGTGAGATTTAGGTGCAGAAGCTGTTACGATCTGAGATGTTCTATCCCAGCAATGAACTTCCTGTCACAATCACTGGGCATTTTACCTTGTAGTTCTGTCAAAACTGCATTTTGAATCTTCTGAGCTACAGAACACAGACTGGAAGATTCTAGTCATTATCCAAGCCCAGAGTGGCCAGGAGCACATTGGTCTGATACATGTACTCAGCTGTGTCAAGAGAAGGGAAGGACAGAGGAATTTGAGCTACAAACTTCCAGCATTCATCAAGACAGAAAACAGTATTTTCTTCTCACAAGTTATGTTTTCCCAGCATACTGCATTCCATCTAACCTAGAAATGTCATCAATACATCATTTTGATTATGAAATAATGTAGGCATTTTCTATACAAACTGCTGTACCAGTGTGCCTATTTAGTTATAAGAATATTTTTCTACTCTGCTAGTTAAATCAGATTGGCTGCTGGTGTTGGCAAAGTTATAGGGGATGTGTATGTCTTTCTATATATGGGATAGTTGAGTGTATGTGTACACATATTTCTATGTATAAAATTCATAAATATTGGCAAATATACTGGCAAATATACAATGAGGC